TATATATATATAACACAGGAGTTCGCATATTTGTATTGTCCAGCAAGAGAGGCTATTAAAAAAAAAAAATAGTTTCACAGTGTGTTTAAGTTTTTCGAAATGCAATTCTTTGAATATCTTTTTTAACGAATCCGAATAATTTTACGGTTTTGATAGAGCAGGCAGAAAGTTTGTTTCTGACCTCATGATCTTGGTACTGTAACTCAAAACTGTTAAAAACGTGGGCAGATACAACTTCGTAATGCAAGAGTAGCGACATGTTCACTCCGTCTTTAAAGAGTTAAACAGCGGTGGCCAAGGAAGCACAGTGAGAAAACACATGACCACTAAAACCCTGGCCTGGGGTGCTGCCATGAAGCCATTACGTGGACCAAGGCCCCGATCGTCCGCAGTGTTATTGGTCAACATTGTCTTATACCTACATTCCTCGCGGAGACAAGTCTTAGAGTAAGTCATTGTGAAAGTCTCAGTCCTCTGGGCTCCCAGAGCTGGACGCACGACGAGGGGCGTTTAGGGACATTCGTTCTGTGGACACTTCACGCAGTGCAGAATATTATTATGTTGTGAAGATTGCATTATAGGATCGTCTATTAGTACCGTCAGGACTCCTTTATTTGTGAACACCATTAGGGCTGTTCCTAAGGGATTTTCTTTTTTCTTTTTGGACAGTGCGCGCTTCAAGCCTTGTCGTTGTTGGTGACTTAATGGTGAACCCTTGGTAACTTTTTCCAAGGACATGGTGAGTTTTGGTGATGCATCGAAGTTTGTTTGTGCCTTTTTTTTTCTTTTTTTTTTACTTCTTTATCTTTTCTTACTATTATTTTCAATGGTCTTGTTTTCCTAACATGAGTCCTCTTGTTTCGACCCCCCTCCTCTCGCTTTTCCCAATTCTTTTCAACTCAAAGGAAATCCCGAAAAGACCTCAAACGACAGAAATGACAATGGCTTAATTTTCCTTAAATTATCAAAACATCGGTATTTTACCCCAGTGCCCAGCTCCCAGTTTCTATATTTGGATATTGTTCAAAGTATTCTTTGACCCCCACCCCCTGCCCCATATTCCATCCCACCATCCCCTTCTTCTCCGTTTGCTTTCTTCTTTACTCTAATTTTTCGCCCCTTCTCTCTCTCTCTCTCTCTCTCTCTCTCTCTCTCTCTCTCTCACACACACACAC